CAAGGTCAGCAGACTCCAGTCCAACACCTGCCTAGAAAATAACATAAAGCTGTCACCTTCTTCCAAAATGAAAGTGAACGGCACAGTTAAAAATCCTGCTAACTGACCCCAAATCAAATGCCATATATTTCTAAAGTTACTATGGTAGAACTTATGTGAAATTCTGCTCATCAGAGACCTTCTCCTTAAAGCTACCAACTCTACTATCCAGATAAGAATATACGAGTTTAAACTGAAATCTGAAGGCCACTAACAAGAAAGCCGGAGAATACGCATTTTCTTAATCTCCAAACCGCTCCCTTGACTCCCATGCACATGTACGACGTCCTCCAGGGCAGCAGAGCAGGGCCGGTAAGTCAGAGCCCACTCTGTCTCAGCCGAGGCTGACTGCAGAGCTGCTCCTCTAAGACACGCTAACTCAAAAGACCTATACAAAGTATAAACTAGTAATATCTTTCATTTTGATATTTCCAAAGAATATCAGCTCTGCCAACAGAGAAGTCACACTTAGAAACATCTAATTAAAGAAACAAAAAATGGCTCTCAACTGAAACTCAACTCTTAAAATCCAAGACGCATCCTTATGGATTTTATTAAAAAAATTTTGTTGCTGTCTGTAATTCTAAATTTTCCTATTCCAGAGTTTGGATTAACCAGAAAAAACAGGTTTTCTCATATTTCTGGTATACTATTTGGCAATGCACTGTGCTTACTAACATCGCTTTGGAAATAGCAAGACCATCATTCTAAAGGCAGACACAGCGTGGATTCTGCCATTGTCCCAACCTCACTAAGCACAACATACCCTCGTCCTGAGGTGTGTTCCTTACTCTGAAAGCACTACTAATGCCATATAAGCAAACATTTACTTACAACAGACAGCTTTTGTTGTTGCCTTAATCTCCACTTGTATGGACAGATTAGTAGGAACAGAAGTTTCAATGTAAAAATATTGAGCAAGGAAATATGGAGTAAAGCTCTCACTGATACTCCTTGCAGTTTAATAATTTTTGGTAATTATTCTGTATATTTCCCACAGCCCTTAAGACAGTCTAACACAATATAATTAATAAATATTTCTGAAAGGAAGGAGAGTCAAAAAGGAGGGATGACCTGAAGGTAAAAGGAAGGAGGGAAGAGAGAAAGGAGGGTTAATGGTGCTGAATGTATTTAGTTTTATGGTAAAAACTAAGTCAATCTGTTTACACTAATGTGTGCATAAAAAAGGGAGGAAAATGGAATAGTAAAAGCGCTTTAAAAACTGGCCTGTCATACAAACAGTGTTCAACAGATGACTTTGTGTCAGTAACACTCATTGGAAGATAATTTCAACCAACCAGGAAGCTTCTTTTGTTTGAGTCTAGCAGTCCATTGACATGCTAAAAGCACAGTAGTCTGCTCAGAGGGACTAGGATTAGGATTCTAGTGTGAAGAGTTAAAAAACTGAAGGCATTTTGTCAACCGTTAAAATATTTGCTATTTTCCCATCACAGCCTACTATATGAACATTTGAAAAAAATTACAGCAAAAGTATCAGTGCAATGAAATGTCAGAAGATTTTGCCTAAAGCAAAAGATACAGATTTAAATATTCTAAATTTTTATGTAGATTAACACTGATTTTCAGGGAAGAGTGCTCAAAGTCTCAGATCTATAACTCAAATCAAGTGGCCCGTCATGGGAATTTACACATCTCTCAGTTAAATCAGGTATCCATCCAATCACAAAGCCTTTTCACATCTATGAACAACGATGGAATTCAAAATACAAATAAAGAGCCTGGCTAGTGTGGCTTAGTGGTTGAGCTTCAACCCATGAACCAGGAGGTCACAGTTTGATTCCCAGTCAGGGCACATGCTAGGGTTGTGGGCTCAATCCCCAGCAGGGGGCATGCAGGAGGCAGCTTATCAATGATGTTTCTCTCTCATCCATGTATCTCTCTATCCCTCTCCCTTCCTCTCTCTCTAAAAATCAATAAAAAGATATATGTGTGTGTGTGCATGTGTGTGTATATATAAAAGAACAAAATACAAATACTCATTTCAAATGTACTTCCAACCATGTCATATCCAATATGGACATAAGTTCTTCTGTCTTAATATGGTTAATATAATTGTTGGTATTTAGTATATAACAACAAAGTGTACTAGTATCACAAGAAGTATATTATGCTTGGTTGTACTCTGGTGAACTTCTCTCTGCATATGTTAGTGTTGAAGAGTTGGGCTCCACCTGGTATGTGTGAACAATTCTTTCCCCACTCTGTCCTCCCACCCCAAATCTTCCAGTGTATAGAAAGTAGATTATAAATAAATCCAAAGTATATATGAATCCACAGTGAGTTCAGTTTTCCATGGTGAAGGGAAAAAACTACATTTCAAGGCTATACTGTCAAACATTTGTCTAATGCTTGCTCCTGTTTTGACTATCAATTCTAAGAAAAGTTTATTGGCTAACTTTAAAAATGTTTAAAAATGTGAGACTGGAATGGAAATACTGATGTAGCTATAGATTAAGAAGAAAGATTTGGTCTGTTAAATAAATTTTTTCATTTTAATTCAAACCACAGAAGTCCCTTCCCATATACTCAAACCTGGAGTTTGCATCTGCATTCATAGATACAATCCTTTTGGAAAGTGTGAAGAAGTATAATTAATCACATTTTCAAATCAAAATTTTAAGATGCGTTCAACAATGCCTCCGTCGAAAACACTGTCCACAATATTATACATTTAAGACTCAAAATATTTTTATGTAATATGTCCTCCTTAACCTTGAAAATAAACTAAATATGGAAAGTTGAAGTTCTCTTTGAGCCAACTCTGCTCTATCTCAAAGCGATGCCACTTTATTCTTAAATTATCAAAAAATGTTCCTAAGATATAAATTACACATTCCAAGATAAGGGGTCTAAGTAATTCTAAGGGTTCTAAGTCATTATATTTCACACAACCTGTTTTCTGTAGGAAAAGTGTAACAGACCGCAGATGCCACTGTAACCTAAAATTGCTGATATTGCAAGGCATGAAGAATGCTGATTCATGGTATGCCACAATTACAGTGAAAAAAGGAAGAATGCTGATTCATGGCACGCCACGTTTACAATGGAGAAAGGAATCCAAGGGCCTTCCCCCATGGGTCTGTCCCCAAAACGTGAGAATAACATGAAAATGCAGGGTGCAAGTTTAAATTGTGTAGGTCGTCATAACATTTAAATGACATCATGTTTCAAAGTTTGAAATAAAGGTTAAAAGTTGAGACCTGCTAATGAAATAAAAACAAAATAATGTTTGACTTTTAAATTAATTTTGAATACTCAAATATGAATATGATTTTCTTATATTAAGCTTTCTCATATTAAGCTTATTAAGCAAAATGCTTACATTCAGGGCTATTTAGGCAGAAAATAGGGCTCAGTGGTTAAGATCAAGGTCTTTAGAGTGGCAAACTGCCACTTACTTGATGTGACCTTGGAAAAGTCACTTAACCTCTCTAAGCTTCAATTTCCTTATCTGCTATTCTGAAGATAACTGAAAAGCACTTACATAATACCTGGCACACAGTGAGAGAGCAGTAAGTTACAGCTGCTGTTGTTGGTATTATCAAAGCAATCTCTGCAAATTGCACTTGTAAATTAGGTGTGAATGAGAAATGGCCTATAATTCCAAAACTTTACTTAAAAACAAAACAAAAAAGCCCCTAAAGGTCAGATTTAGTTCTTTCTATAAATGAAAAAATCACAGGGGTAGAGGAAGAAACCAATGCCTAAAGAAAGAGTTTAAAAAAAAAAAAAAATACAAGAAAACAAGAGAAAGGAACCCAGTGTCCTGAAATGCTTAAAGAAAACTGCTAAGGGCACAAGGAACAGGATGGTCAGCTCCTACCTACAGCCACCTTTGATGATGAATTCAGACATCAATACAGAGGACAGAAAAGTTTTCCCAAACTAGAAACAGAAAACTAAGTAAGTTACATTTCATATCCACTGACAGGTAGTGGGAAATTTTTTAACTTATTTGGTTTTCAGAGATTAAAACTGGACCATTTTTAAACCCACTCTGTTCTTTATAAAGTTATCACAAAACATATCTAATATGGTAGCATAATTTAGAAAGGAGGTGGGAAGCTCCCACACTGGCTTCAGGTTTGTCCTTTACTTCATCAAAACTACCTTCAAGGGTAGTGACAAAATAAATACAAAATTGGAAGCATTACCCTCTGAAATCTAGTACATAAAATATGCAACACAGGTAATTTCTCATAACATTTAAGAGCTATATACTTTAAGTATCTGATATAAATTAATTTCATATTTAGAAATAAGTATAAGGAACTAGTTCTGGTTTGTATATACAGATGCAGAGTTCAGTGACTCTGAATATAAATAAGTGCTTAGTATTTATTACCCAGTAATTACTTTAACAAACATTTAGTCTTTCCTGTATACCAGGCACTACCCTAAGGGTTAGGAATACGTTTTTAACCAGACAAAAATGGTCCCAATGTTCAAGGAGCTTATATTCTAGCAGGGGAGACTATAAATAATAAAATATTATGACAAAAATAAAGAGGGTTGTGAGATAAGGAGTGACTGAGAAGCTATTTCAGACTGGTTGGACTAGAAAAGCCTGCTCATCAAATTTAAAACATCTACTTCCATAAAACTGAAATTTGCTGCCAAAATCTCTAACAGCTCTATTACTCTTTATTTACATATAAAAACAAACATAAACATTTGCCAGGCTATGAAATTTATATGTAATCTTCCCAAATATACACAGTAAGCACTGATAAATAGATACGGTTGTTTTACCCAAATGTTATTTTCAACACATAATAATAAAACAGAAATGTAGACAATATTTTTTATAACAAATGTTTTCATATTTTCATGTTAATTTTATATACATATTATTTTGCTAAACTATAAACAGAATTTTAAACATCTGATATTATTTAAAAATCAAAATATTCCAACAGAAAGGCTTAATTTTAACTCACCTGTAGCTGTATACAGTGCAGAAGATCTATAAATTTGTGGCCAAATCCAAGAGAAATCTGCAATATAAGCAAACAAACAAACATGAATAAAAAATGCAGAATCCTGTGATTTTTTACAACCATCATGTAAGTAATACCCATTTAATAACACCATTCCATTAAATCGCATGGTAAAACGGAGTAGACTTGCTGCATTACTTCTATTTGTACAAGAAAATATAAAATATGTAAGGTCACACAGTCCATTGCAGATTATAAGGTGTCTACCCTAGGGATTTTGAGAGCCCACCATTCACTTACTATACTTTCTTGTAGCTGCCTGCCTAGAAACAGAGGAGCCGGAGCTACCCCCTTGCCCCCTGCACTGCCAGGGCTAGCCCAGGGTCCAGCACACAGTAACACGATGTGCAGTAAATGTCTGCTGAATAAATAAGTAAACTTTACATGGTCATCTTCACTTGCTGTAATTTACAGTTTACCTATATGGAATTGAAAGGCTAGAAATTACTGAAATAAAACTCTATGTCATAACTGTTTAAAGAAAGAAGTTAAAAAGTGACTGAATAATTTATCTCAAAAAAGTCTTGAGTAAAATGATATAAAAATGATGCTAATATAAGACATTCATAACAATTTGCAAGAGCAAACGTGGACAAGAAAAGGAAGAACATTTTCAATGCTGAGGGCAGCTGCTCACCAAGTTTTTTCTGGGTGTGTATCTTTGAGGACAAAGTGCTTAAGGATGAAGGGCCCTAAGGCATTTCCTCGGATCTACACAGGAATCACCCCCACTGCACCAAAGTTTGTTTTCACAATGCACAGGGAGGAATGCGAACATAACAGATACGTGCTTATGATATTTTATGTGCATCCATGTTTACTATTTTTGTGTATTTTTATGGACCTGAGAAAATGGTTTGATTGCTACTAGTAGAGTATGTCTTTTTCAATCATTATGAGCTACTAGATTGAACAGCTGCAAGGAATGTTTTTACAACAGAGCTACTAGATTCTTTTGTCAGGTGACACCATCAATAATAAATGACACTTTGATTAATCATCAAACTTAAAACAGTATTAACTCTCTTAAGAGCCCTTTACTCTTTAGAATAAATAGAAAGAACATAATAGAAAAAAGCTAATGCTAATTTAATACCCAAATTAACATTTTCCTAGGGCACTGGAAAGATCTGATTTCATAATCTAAGAGGTCTAAAGAGGAAAGAGAAAAAAATTGCATTTTGATTTTTACCAGGACCTGATCAGCTTGGAGATCATCATAAGTAATGAAATGCAGCTAGGATATTAGTCAGAGATGATTCATGAAAAACAAAGGAAATATGTATGCAAATATGAAGTTATCACAGTAAGTAAAACGAATGGATTCTCCTCAAGAGGCAGTCAGTCAGTAGTGTGCAATAAAGTGTTATGTAATAGGAGCCATCAATTCTTTCCAGCACTGCTGGGGTAAATGTATTCATTACGTGGCCTACTTAAGCCTATTATAATTCTATACCAACAACGAATTTGCTCAAGGACATCGCGCCATGCAACAATCAAGAGCTAAAACTTGTGATATTAGTAGGAATCAAGATATTAAACTATTACTGCTTGATCTCTACTATTAAATGAGTTTTTATTAATATGCTAATATGAGGAAAAAATACCAAAGCATCCAGCTAAAAAGAAAGATACAGAAGAGACACAAAGATTAAAGACATATGAAGATGTGGATAATTTCCACAGTATAATATAATATCTTGGTGTAACACTTTGAACAAAAGGAATTAATAAAACACTTTAACACAAAATTATGAACTATTTTATAAGTTACTAAGGGAATATAATAGCCATTAAAGCAGTAGTACAGGCAAGAAGAACTCTATAATAAATTAACATCCCTCTATTCTTCCACCAGTCCTGACAGTTTTCACAAAGCTCCTTCTGGAATGTGTTTCATGGGAGGAAGAGGGGGCAGCCCTGGACCTGGTAGAGAAAGAAGGAAAGGCAGAGGATGCCTGTCATCTTTTCCCCTCTAACGACTGCTATTTCCACTGCATGAGCTAAAAAGATATATACCCTTTTCCACAAAGCCATCGGTCGCTATCAGAAAGCAGCATGGAACAGTCCAAAGAACCAGGGATTAAGCACCATCAGATAGACCAGGTTTCAGGCTCTGGCTTTGTCATGTAAACACCGCTGCTGTAAATATAGCATCACTAGCAGTGGCTTAGGTAGGCGACCTAGGAAATGTTACTGTGGACCTGTCTGTAAAATGAGGATAATAATGCCATCTTTGCAGCACCTTGGAAATAGCAAATGAAAAAATTGCATAAAGCACCTAGTACATAGTAGGCTTCATAATTCTGATCCTGCCAAGTATGAGCCTGTTAAACACTGCTAGCAAAGACAGGTAACTCAATAAAGTGATGAAAAATAAAAGCCTCAGGCCTACCGACCCCAAGGAGAACTTATTTTCCCTGGGATGCCCCTTTATCAGCCCATAATCCTCCATAGAGATACAGAAATATGGGAAATTTTTGAACCGGGGCTACTTTAAAACTATATCAAAAGTTGAAAGATATTACCTGATTTTAAGACTTACTATAAAGTTACAATAACCAGAACAATGGGGTATGGGCAGAAGGATAAACAACAGAAGAGAGCAGAGTCCAGAAACAGGGCTACACATTTATATCAATTCACATTCAACAAGGATGGCAAGTTAATTCAATAAGGCAAAGCAAGTCTTCAATAAATGGTGCCCAAACTGGTGATGCATATGGGGGGGAGGGGGCAAGGGGAGGGAAGAGCCTCAACCTTTACCTTGCACCATGTACAAAAATTAACTCAAAATGGAAAGGATCATAGATCTTAAAGTTAGTAGCTAAAACTACAAACCTTTTGAAGGAAATACTTGAAGAAAAATCATTGTGGATTAGGCAAAAGGTTTTTAGATATAACATCAAATGTATAAAAGAAAAAAGAACATAAGAAAAAGACCATAAAAGAAAAAAAGAATCAATTGAACTCCATTAAAATTAAAATGTTTGCTCTTCAAAAGACAATTTAAAAAATAAAAACGCAAGTCACAGATTGGGAGAGAGTACTGGCAAAATAATTATCTGATAAAGTACATGTATCTAGAATATATAAAGAACTAGATGATTACCTGATAAAGGATATCTAGAATATATGAAAGAATCTCATAACTCAATAATAAAACGAGTAATTCAACCTTTTAGAAATGGGCAAAATATATGAAAATATAATATATATATCATATAAGATACACAATGGGGAAAGTACATAAAAATGTACTAAACATTAGTCATCAGGATAATGGAAATTAAATCCAAAACAAAATATCCTAGACATTCAGTAAAATATCTAAAGTGACGACAAGGATATAAAGAAACAAGAACCCTCACATCGCATCCCTCACTGGTGGGAAAGTATAATGGTAGGGCCATTTTGGAAAACAGTTTGGAAGTTTCTCATCACATAACCTGACAATTTCATACAAGGTGGTGTTTTCACTTCTCTGGGGGCAGATGACCACACAAAGAGTTGTAATAAATGTTCCTAGGCAGTTTTGCTCATAACAGCCAAAAAGTAGAAACAATTCAAATGTCTATTGATTGGAGAATGTATTTTTTTAGAATGTAGTATACTCATAAAGTGGAATACCACTCAACAATAAAAAAGAATGGATTGCTGATACATGCAACAACACGAATGAACCTTAAAAATACTGTGCTAAATGAAAGAAGCCAGACACCAAGATTACATATTGTATGACTCCATTTACATCTAAGTTCTAGAAAAAGTAAAACTATACACATAGAAAACAGACTGGTGATATCTTGGGTCAGAGAACAGAAGTGGGGATTGACTGAAACGGACACAAGAGAACACTGGGGGCCAATAGAGTTGTTCTAAAACTGGATGGCGGTGATGCTAAAGAAAGATGTATAAGAAACATCAGACACAAACAACTATAAACTTACTAAAACTCACTGTTTTGATAATGCTATCCTTTTTACCAATTGGATTTGAAAAAGATGGCAAAAATGTAATCAACCTGGAAACTGCCCTTTTGAGGTTTCTGGTGTGGTACGAACAAGTAGAGCAAAGCATATTCCCCACATCACCCACCCCTAGCTGATATTGCAAATGAATCTTAACATTCTTTTTGGCTGACACAAATGCAGTTTCACAATTTTCTCAAAGTTGCCACCAATCGAAGGAAGTACTTCCAATACAGCAATATATTTCATTTGAAATGAAGTGAAATGAAAATATATTTGTCAACTAGAACAACTTGTTTTTGATGGACAACAGTGTATATGGCATGTGCTACTGGAAAGAGATGACTAACCAAAGGGAAGCCCTGCGACTGCCATACTTCGTGTTACAACAGAGGTGCTGTCATTGGTCGTCTTGTCCTCTAGCCAGTACTGCCCCAGTCACCTAGCCAGTCGCACAGGCTGGTAGAAATGAAGAGGATATGGGGAAAGGAAGAAAACAGAAGCACCGCTCAAATTACTCGAGATTTTTCAACAGTTCCAGCCAAACATATCTGAACATATACCTACTGCAAGCGCTCACCCATAATGCATCATTAATAAAATAATTTTACTTTTCAACTTTTTACTCAAAAGCACAAAAACTCCCAAACAACTGAACATAAAACACACCTTTCACTCAGCATGTTTCAAATTATACAACATCAAGAGGAAAGCTATACTTTTAAGACTTAACTCTGAGAATGATTTCAGGTTATTGAACAGGACATTATATTTTTTATTTGATATATACTTTATATAACACAAAAATGTCCTAAAATATAGCTCATATATTTTTAATAAAATATTATATTAAAATCCCAATATGATGTTGCAAAAGTCTTAGTAATGTACATAACATGGAAAGAATATGTACAACATATGCAAGGTAAAATTCTTCCCTAGGTATTAAGGTGATGATGCTAAAAATAACATCCAGAACACAGAAGAATAACTTGAGGTTAACTGATTAACTTCTATATATACTTC